CAAACATTCTGGACTGATAAGAAGTGACAGCATGATCGCCATTGCTGTCGATTCGCAGCCATGACCTTCAGTGTCTCCAACCATGCAGTTTCGGAGTCTTTTGGACCCCAACCCCGAAGACGAGAGACACTTACTCTACCTGATCACTGCATTTCTTCATGCCTCGTCTCCACGTCATCTGCTGACCTCCACGTGGCGTTCTTCATCCTGTAACCTGTAACTACAAACAAGGCGGGCTGTGGTAGACGACCGTTGGGCATACGCAAAACGTGTCCTAACCAACGGAGCCTACTGAACTGGATTCGATGAGATAGTGAGTTCTTGTTCGATGCATTCCCAAACACCCGAAGACTTACTTCTGGGTTACTAACCCGCTCACTCCATCCCACTTCGGCTAGACTACGTAAGCATCGATTGTTGAACATTGCTAAACGACGTGTGTCTTCTACCCGCAAATTCAAAGTCTCACAACCGTAAAGCAGAACTGATTGTACAGCAGCGCAGTATACGCAACTTTTCAACTTTATTGACACGTCACGTCGCCGCCACAGGTGTTTTAGTCCTGCGTACGCTGCTCGAGCCTTGGAAATGCGGGCGATTATCTCCTTCGATGCGCTACCTCCGTTGGTCACGCAGCTACCTAAGTATGAAAAGCAGTCAACTTCAGCTAATTCCTGACCGTCTAGTTTCAAAACAGAACTCGGTGGCACCGAGTCTTGCATCAGTTTGCACTTTGAAGGTGCAAAGCACATGCCGAACTTGCTAATCTGTGAAGTGCTCTTTGTGCATCCTCCATACATTCGAACAAGCGAACGATGTCGTCAGCGTACTCTAAATCCCACAGCTTTTCTCCAGTTGCCCATTCAATACTCACATTTTGGAGACCACATAGTGTATTCTCCAGTATTTCGTCTATGACGAAATTGAACAGGAATGGCAAAAGAGAGCACTCTTGACGAACACCGCTGCTAGTTACGAACGACCTACTCAGATCGCCGTAGACCCTTACGCTACCAGAAGTATGTGAGTAGAGTGAGTTCAGTATATTCACACTTCCGCGGCATTCCTTTACAAAGGAGTGAAACCATAAGGAATTCACGATCAACTGAATCGAAGGCTCATTTTAAGTCAAGTAACACGACAACCGTTGGTCGACGGTGCGTATGGCGTAGCTTGATGACTTGACGCAGGGTGAAGGTTTGAACGATACAACCGCGACCTGGTCGGAATCCTGCTTGTTGTTCGCGGATGTTTGTCTCCCCAAACGGTGTCAGACGTCGAAGTATAATGGAGGCTAGTAACTTGGTGACAATCGGGATCAAACTTATTCCACGGTGGTTTGCGCAGTCATTGCGAGATCCCTTCTGAAAAATTGGAACGATCAGTGATTTGCTCCAGGATGATGGAATGCGCTCGTGCAATTAGATGTTACGCATTAAATCAGTAATGGAGTCAACAAGTCATCGCCCCTCATCTTGAAAAGAGCGGGAGGAAGCCCGTCTGGCCCTGCTGCTTTTTCTTTCTTCAGGGCTTGGATGCAAGAACGAACTTCTCCTGCAGTAGGAGGTTCAGATGAAGCTGCCTATGGAGTCTCAGCTACATTGGAGGAGATAGCCTGGTTGGCGCCTGGCCAGCTGAACTGTTCTTTGAAGTACTCCACCCACCGGTCAAGCCGTTGTTCCCTATTGTGAATGGCTTCCCCATTTTTGTCGTAGATTGTTTCACTAACTGTGGTTCGCCGACCTCCCGTATTGCGTATCAGTTGGAACAGTCTCTGACCATTCCCTGATGCAGCCGCTACTTCCATTTCACTAGCCATCGTTGCCCACCAGTCTTTCTTGAGGCTCCTCGTGAGATGACGTTGTAGACGCCACCTAACCCTGCCTTGATACCGGGTGGTTGGGATTTGCCGCTTTTTCTCCATCAGTGCCACTGAATGATCAGATATCCAATGCCTCGGGCGGGCTACCGCTTCAGATCCACAAGCAATGTTCGCTGCGAAGTGCATTGCTCAACTAATCTGATCCCATTGTTCATTTACACTACCACCCCGCAGTGCGTTTAGCTCTTGCCCTAGTTCTGATTTCAAACGGGCACGAACGGCTGGGTCAGATAAGCGATGATCTGCCAATCGAGTTTGGTGGAATTTTCTGTGACCAGTGAGTTGGAGGGTGAAGTGTATCAAAACGAACGCATGTTCAGATTCAACGCAGGTGGTCCAATAGGACCTGCAGTTTTGTACTGAGCCACGCCAACGGTAACTTACTGCTATGTGGTCGATCTGAGTGAGCGTGCCAGTTGAATTTGAGCCCCACGTTGCTGTCTGTTGAGAGTTGTGTCGGAATTTGGTGCTGGATAGGAACAGATGACGATCTGCGCAGAACTGAAGAAGTCGATCACCATTATCTGTTCGCTCGCAGGGCGGAGCACAGTGACCGACTAGACAGGCTTCCGATACGCTCAGTTTTCCAACTTGAGCGTTAAAATCACCTGCGAGAATAACTATATCGGAGCTTCGACTCAACCGATTGAGTTCAGTGAGTTTATCATAAAACTCGTCCTTTTGTGCGTCAGAACGGTATTTGGTCGGAGCATACGCTGAAATAATAAACAAACACCTTTTGGTGTTGCTTCCCTTCCGGACGCTGATAGACCCTTGGAGTCGCATCGCACATGAGCGACTGTTGACGGGGATCCAATCGAGTAGTGCGGCTTCGGCTGTATTATTCAGTACAATGCCCACACCACGCTGGCCTACTGAACGGGCCTCGTCATCACCTGACGTGCGGAGGAAGAACCTCGAAGACAACCCCAGTGCACCTAAGTGGTATATAGTACTAGGATCCTGGATTGGAGTCTCCGACACGCAGCAGACATCCATTCCCAAAGAGTCCATTGTACCCGCCAGACATGCTTGTTGACCTACCTGCATCAGAGTCCTCACGTTGAAAGCCGCCAGATTAAGTGGCTGATGAGGCTTCAAAATATGCAATCTATTTTGTGGTAAACTACTTACCGAGCTACTTGGCAACAAACTTTGGCGAGTGACGAACAAGTTGTCTGAGAGAATGTTACGGGTTGGAAGAAAGGGTACAAGGAGAGGGTTGGGTACGGAAGACAGAGTTAATCAGAGGTTAAGATATCTGTGCAGTAGCCCACTTATCACTACCCACCCCGCTCGAAGCAATGGGTAGCGCGGTCCTGATTATCCTGCGCGACGACCGATGCAGTATGGAATTATTTTTTGTTTGTGTATGCATTTAAGTTTGATGGACGGGTACTGCCAGGGTGTCCAGCCACTAAGCAGGAGAACGCTTAGGGTTCTCATCCAAAGCCTTTAGTTCTGACAAGAATATGACCGCAAGGCAGCAGTTAAGGCGAATTAGAGGCCCATTTACTTGGATCAATTACTCCTCTACTCTTTTACCGACTGAGACGCTAACTCGAGTCAAACCGCCAACCTGGAGGACCAGGAGACTGGACTTCGTCAGAACCCTGCCCATTGACCTTCCAAGCATGATTAGATCTGCGGCTTGGCAAAAGCTATCCTGTGTAGCTCGTTTGGTCATAGAGGTGCACAAGCCATCACATCACGTCAAGGTGCAGTCTCGTCGTGATAGCCTTGCGTTCTTGCATCTTCTCAATTTCTTTGCAAACTTAGACCACTGAACTTCTCCATTTTATGTTCGACTCTAACTTCAACTTTCCTGTCTTCTCCTATTATTCATCCAAATGGGCAGCCAAAACCGGCCCACGGAAGTGCATGGTTAATGGTTGTTCAAACTAAAATGAACTGCAAAAGATGGCGAGCCACTGAAGATGCAGGTGTTCTGTGGGGCTAGTTGTTTATGTAATTTCCGATCTCATCAGTTCGCTTTCGTACTATGCGAATATGTGCTTGGTCACTCGGGTACGTTACTGATGTATGGGTAGCTCTGCACCGTCACTGAAGTTTATGGCTTATTGTGATTTGCAGAAAAAAAATTGATTAGGGCAACCCACTACCTGTCACACTAATTCTGTGAACTTCGGTTTTGCTGGTCAGCGATTGAGGTCAGTCGATCGCGTGGTTAGTGTCTACCCGTTGGATCCTATTTGAAGTGATATATTCATATATAGTTTCGAAAACAAAGCCATTGAGCGTAATTTGGCCTTAAAGGAGGTACGTCAATGTCGCGTCCAGGAGACCGAGGTGTTAGCTTAATTGAAGTCATTGCACAAGGATGTTCAGTTCAACACTGAAACGGAGAAAAACACAAATTTTGGAAATCGTTATTTACGGCAAACTGGGCGGGACTATTTCGAGGTCTTAGTTAATTTTACTTTTGATGTACTCGCTTCTGCGGGAGGATAAGTCGGCTTCTTGGATGTCTCTAATGATGGCGGCCCATGCATGACAATCGGCATCAAGGTAAACGCAGTGTGAAACCCAGTTTTGGTTGCAGTTGCAAATTCCATATACGGATTTCAAATCCGCCTTGCTTGTACTACTCCAGGTCTTCAGCTGACCACCGAGTCGGCAACGCCATCCAGGGTAGTCGATGAATGATTGTCGCATTATCCTATCTACGGTGTAATTGAATAATGCCAGCGATAAGAGAAAACCCTGCCTAACTCCACAGCCTGGGGTAAACTCAGCCGATTCTTTTCCATAGGTACGGGCGCGTGCCCGGGTTCCTGAGTAGTATGACTTTAAAAGCCTGATGAACTTCTCAGGCATCCCGTCGGACCGGACCACAAGGATTTTCAATGGACAGAATTAAATGCAGCACAGTGGTAGGCTGTTGGAACCTGTAGCGGTGTTTCAGAATCCTACGGAGAGTGAAAATTTGTCCAACACAGCCTCTTCCGCGGCGAAACTCCCTTGGTTCGGGCGAGTGCGAGTATCTCTGAAGACTGCAAAGCGATTAAGCAGCATTACTACAAACAATTTGTCTGCAATATCAATGAGGCTAATACCCCTCTCTCTCTCTCTCTTTTTCCCTAGCAATACTATATCCTGGAATATGGCCACATCCAGGGTGCAAAACTCAAGTCTTTTATGTAAAAATAATTGTGGGTTCTACGGCAATCCTTCCTGGGATGGTTATTGTTCTGTGTGTTATCGTGAAACATACATTGAACAAGGACAGTCACGAAATGTGACTTCCAATCTGTCCGCAGTGTCCACACAAGCATTTTCCAAGTTTGAAGCCAAACGAAAACAATTAGCCGGAAAAGGTGCAAGCACACTAAGGCAGATATTTCGTTTTTCCAAAGGTACGTGATCACGGTTCACCCTTTTCGTAAAACGTTATAGATGGCAGTCGTGACAAGTCATCTGCTCTTCCAGAAGAGTGCCTCCAAGCGGCAACAGAGTTTAACTCTTTTTTGGCTACATTACGAGCCACAGTGAGTGCGGATGTTTCGCGGATGGTGAGTCGCGCTTTCACAAAGACTTAACATTTTTCCAGGTGTATAAGCTTTTAGAAGAACTGGAAACAATGGCTGGATCGCATATCAATCAATACTCGGTGGTTATTCAAAACTTTTATCAAACTGTTTCCGATCGGATATCAAAATCTGCTCTTTATACCGTAAGTCTCTTGCATTGTTGTGTGATTTTTTCGTAATATAATTGAGGACATTGACCATACTGGTACCGTTCAAGGTTTCAGTTATGCTGATCTATTCTGTTTTCCTCTGCCAATACATAACACCAAAATAACGGCTTTTGTGGATAGTTTGGACACTGAACACTGACAACAGTGATTTTTTGCCTCAATACTCGCAGAAAATAGCGCCCTGGCGTTAGCAAAAACAACAAGCTTAGGCAATCTAAGCAGTGCAAATATATGGCTTAAATTGTTATTACTCGTTCACGTGGTTCTTCATTACACCTTAGAGTGATAAATAACATTGTAAATCCCAATTTTACGAAAACCTTTTTGGTAGAATATTTAGCGTTGGTCACCGGCTCGATTGGGCATCGAGCTGTATTGGTCACCTAGAACGTTTGACTCCATCCGATGGGCGTGTGACCCAGTGGAATGAAAACCAGCCCCCAATGGACTGCGGTTTTCCGACATCGCCACGATATGTTGTGGGTCAGGCTTTGGCTAGCCAAAGGCTCTTATTGTGTACTCTCTAAAAAATCCACCTGCTTTGACCTGGGCATCCTAGCAGTATCACGCCCTCAAGTAAATCATGGATCTTTATATTTTTTATAAAGACTGTTGTACCGTGATTTGTTTAGCACACAGCCTGAACTCAGGTGTGTGAGGATATAATATCATATAATATACACCTGTGTGTAATCACAAGACGGGATAAACCCCGCAGTCACGTGAACTTGCTGTTCACTCATTGAAACCGGTCACCTAAGCCCTTAAGAATTGTAATGATGAACCGCATAATACCTCAATATCATAGGCATTGTATTAAGCCAAACATCAGCAAAGCTGCCTACCACCCACGTCGGGTGGCATTAGTGGTGGCGGGATTTAAGCCCTAGGTACTAAAAAAACGCAAGTGACTGCGACTTAGGTCGCTTGACCACCACTAATAGTTGCAACAACCGATCTGAGTTGATCCTGCTGTCAGTTTCTTTGAAGCCGAATCTTTATGGTTAGAGCAGTACTTACTGTGGGCACCCATTAATTTGTTCTAATGTAGACACTGCCCGCGTATACATGGTGAACACCATCCATAGGGCGTATCCACTCGCACATTCTCCCCATGTGTTAAACTGTGCAAACAAAATTTCCAAACTATATATCATAATCTCATAAGGAAAACGCTTCGATTTTTTAATTTGGAAATTGTGGGTTTTTTCTATCTACTGCAGCCTGAGTTTGCACGTGACATGCTCCAATAGTGGTGCAGATTAATTAGTCTAAGGTCAGTCCATTTAGGTGGCTCTCACGTGGATTAACCAATGGATGGCTCACGTGACTCGAAATCGGTGCGATATACAGACCAAAGGAATGAATGGCCAAGATATTCCAGTTACTGTCATATGTTTTTGTTTATGCGTCATAATAATTTTGCCCACCATAATTGGGAGATATTACTTACTTGTGAGTAGTTCGCAAACGGATGCGATTGGCGGTTTTTTCAACGGCCAAAAATGACTAAAATCTGTTGGAGCGAATACAAGAACGCATATCTAAAAGTAGACCGTTCCATCAACTGAAGACTTCCAAATGAGATATTTTACTGTGTGATTGACAGTTTACCGATACCTTGACTGTTATTCGTAATAAAACATTTTCCTTGACTGGGCACCGCCTTCTGGAATTATAACACTGTCTTTGTACTTCAATTTGCCCATCAACTAATTTTTGAACAGGATTGTCCAACTGTAGAAAATACCTACTTGCCGAGTTTGAAAACCTTAGTATTTAGCTCAAAGATATTGTTTTCATAGAACATTTTGTTGCTGAGCGTTGTCTTATCGAACTTTAAAATATTGACCTGCCTGCTTGGGAAACGGTGAAGGCAGTTGGTATGCTAATAGTTATTTTAGTCAAAGAACCTCTTGATTTCACATTTCGCTCACTGAAAAACCGTCCTCATTTTATTGAACAAAGGCTTTCTTGTAGTGCTAAACCCGGTGGTCTACCAGTTTATAGCCTCCAACGGAGATTGGATAAGATATAGTTATCCAGAAGTTATCCTGAAGGGGAACGTGCATTGCTATTGATAATTTTCACGGCTCCATCAATAACCTGTTAGTTTTCAGTTCAACGATCTACTGCTTTGTTTGTTTTGTTGGTGTTAGGTTAACTGATGAAATTTGGTCGGGACGTGATGGAATGAAACAGAATGATGAAGCAGCTACCTCTGGTATCGAGGCGATTTTTGAACCTATTTCATTATTCACACTAGAGAATGCATGCTTACATCATTTTAATTTGTCTATATACTGCAAGTAACTGCACCAGTTCCTAACCAAACCAGATTAGTGATAAAATGTGATCATATTTCGAAAGTGCATCCCAGTTTATACGTACGGAAGCTCCCAGATGTTTCTTTGAAATCGGGATTGCACAGATCCCCCTGGGAAATTTATCTCTCCTTCCGGATAATTGTTCAGACTGCTTATGTTTTATTAAGTGATACTTCTTATCATCAGAGTTCCTGAGGTTAGTCATTAATCGTTCAAATATCAATTCCCTTATTTACTGATGATAATAATAATGAATAGTTTTTTATTTAGTTCTATTCCCATTTATCTCGCAGTTACCAATGCCTACTGGTGTGGGATGATTGATGGTGATTGGAACTGATCATGCTTAGACTTCACCTTCATGCACAATTCTCCGTCCCCCCCCCCTGTGCATGGCATGGTTGATTGGATGAACTGAGGATTGTGCGTGAATGTGAAGTTTTATTCCATTTTGTTCCCCCCTGTTGGTTTTTCCTTGTTTACTCCTTGTGCAATTGATTTTGTCTGGAGTCTGATACGTATTATCTCTGGTTCCAGGATCTTCCGACCCCGGTAACCGAGACCCTGTTGAACGCTGTCGAACGATTTGTCACAACGTGGATTTATTGTTGGGCATTTGCTTCGCCCATCACAGATGACGAATCGGTCGATCTGAAACTGCAGGAAAAAGTACGTTCGCTACATTGGATCACACCCAGTTTGTTGGACTCACCAATCAATCCTTGTTCACCGGATGAAATGGCTCCGTTGGAAGCAGCCACTTTGGGTAAGCGATTCAGTTGCTCTTGCCAGTTTGGTTTTCCTCGGGCCATTGACATTACTTTGACCTGGGCCTAAAACACGAGGCTAAGTCACTCACTATTTGCCTCACTGTACTTCGGTTGGTTCATCGGAGACGCTTAATTGGCCTCAGAAATGTTTCTGTACGCAGCAGTTCATGCCGAGTAGCATGGATAACAGAACATTGAGACAATGCGATCATAAATTCTCGGTGAGGTTTGTTACGAAAGACTTCACCGGCATCAACCTTCTACTGCGATAGCACACATCCGGCCCCTTTGGGCTACTATGTGTAAACCGTCATTCTGAATCGTGTTGCACGGTCACCACTGCTCCCTATAAAGCCATTCGTCTTTCAGTAGATGCGGGTAAAACCTAGGGATCTTTGAATCAGTTCAGTTCAGTTCTTACAGCCATTAACCATGCACTTTCGTGCGCCGGTTTTGGTTGCATCACTGTTAGTTGGACACATTTCCTTTTCTAGCTGTTGGTTAGGGTAGTGAATCTCGTCCTGGCACGGGAAATAAATGTCTTCGCTTGTGAATTCTCACCTATTTTGAAAGGTTTATCCATTTGAGCAGATTATCTGGATGTGATCGCAAGTGTTACGACTCCGCCTCTTGAAGCCACGGGTGAAAGTAGGGTAAATGATGAAGCCCAGGGAGGTCGAGTATACCCAAAATGAGACGATAGTCCACCAACTCATATGTGCAACTCCTAACAGATGCGCGCAGT